CACGTCGATTCACGCTCGGCGCTTCCAGGTTTTTTTTTCGTCGAAGTTTTCGTGAATGAAATCCAAAGAAAGAATGTTAAAAAAAAAATTACGGTATTCTTCATTCTCACGTGAAAGCCTCAGAAGTTTTAAATTCACTAAGATCCTTGAGAAATCCTTCCAATTTTGAGTCCAAGTTATTCAAACGGTAGTTACATCTTTGAATATGAATTGAAAAACACCACAATGGATTACTAATACACTCCTAATGCGTCATCACATGAAGTAAAAATTTTACAGAAAAAAACTTAAACGTTATTGCGAGCAGGGTGGAAACATCAGGAAGCTTTATTATTTAATTTTTCACATCAATGATCTTGAAATGGGGAATTATGAAAAGGCCAATTGCACCTTGTCCGATTTAAATGGCCAGGAGTTTAATTCGAAAGAACCGTTTTATTGTAAAATTGATGATTTTACCGATTTGTTTCAGAGTTTCAGACCGATTTGATTCAGCAGACGTAAGCACGACAGAGTGACAATCTAATTTACAATTTTATTCATCCAGACTTTTTGTTTCAATCGAATTTTTAATCTTTCGAATATGCTGTTTCACCTTTTCCTAAAACGCGTCACTTTGAAAACAGACGTAAGCACGACAGAGTGACAATCTAATTTACAATTTTATTCATCCAGACTTTTTGTTTCAATCGAATTTTTAATCTTTCGAATATGCTGTTTCACCTTTTCCTAAAACGCGTCACTTTGAAATAAATCCAGCTTAAATTTGTGTTATGTGCCAGCCGCATTGAAGAAGAACATTTCGCAAATGCGTCCATTCGTATACTCCGGATCCGTGAAAAATCCAGCATCAGAATAATGACGGGAGCATTAAATTTACAGGATAAGTTTCAGGGGATCCAGCACTATAAATATGGATAAAATTCTTGGAGTCTAAGAAAATATTCTAAAAAAAATAAGCAGAGTAAATAAGAAATTCGGATTTTAAATTTTTGTTGGACACTGTTTAACAATAATCTTTAGAGTACATACGCGGCGCCTCATATGCTGCAGACTTCGTCCTCATCGTGGGATGCTTTCTTCTAATAAGCTTTTTGAAAAATGTGGGCGTCTTTGCCAAATTATTTGCGACGATTGCAAGAGGCTTCTGCATTCCCGGCATCCAAGGTTGGGAAATCATGCGTTGCATTCAGAAGCCCAAATGTTTTGTAATGATGCATACGGTACGAACACCGTTCTAGTCCGGTAGCGCTGACGGCCCAAAGAATTAAATCACAAAAGTTTCCTTTATTTTTCAAGCTGTAGATTAGTTGGAAATTATCGCTGGTGTAATTTATTGGACACAAAAGAAAATCGACAAGATGAATTCTTTTGAAAAGAGCAGCATACAGGACGAGGAAGCGGTGGCGTTCCGTTTTGTGTCACTGCGCAGGAACGCAAAGCGCGTTCTTCGCCCGCGGAGCCATCAACGTCGGGAAAGTACGACTTAATTAGCGAACTTGGGCCTTCAAATCACGGACTTGTGCAATCCAGGCAGTTTAACGAAGTCTGCTTGAGCGGCTTCTCCCTCATCACAACTAGTCGTAACGAGCAGCAGATGCCTCGTTTTGCAGCCCCAGCAGTCGTGAGAAGCATTCGAGTTTCTTTTCCGCGGTTTCGAGTCGCGCGTATATTACATGTTCCCCAGTTCAGAATTGGCTTAGTTTCCCTGGTCCAGTTAGCATTCGCTTCTCATTAGTTATCAGGAGAAAGGCTTCATTTGTCGTATGAGACTGCTCATCATCAAAAAAGTATGGTCGAATGAATTCCTTCCGCACATGATGCCAATAATATCGTAATAAGTTTTAATTATAGAATAATTTGCGGAGCTTATAAGTTTCGTGTGATGTGAACTTCACGCGAGATCTTTGAGTTATTTAGTTTCATCTCTCTCAATCCGTGAGATAAGAGGCAGACAATACACAATGAGGATGGTGAAAACTGAAAAGAGTTCATTCAACAAACGTCACTGACACCTAAATTGTTGATGAGTTTTCATTTGCTTTCGCTGAAATTACGTCATATGTAATGTATATATTACTTGGAAATTTAAAATGAACCTCTCATGTCAATATTAAAAATGAGGCATTAAATAGTAACACAACTTAATATATCTGAAGAAAAATTACTGATTTAAAAGAATACAGCCCTGTTTGACATATTTTGCAGATATCCCTAGCAGCCCTCTGCTCCTCGCTCGCAAGATTAAGCTCATCTCGCAGATTTTTTGTGTTGCCCACATTTTTTCAGAATTCTTGAAATCATAAAAAAAAATCGACTTTATATATAATACTGTATGTATCTTTGTTGACATTTTGACTCCGCATCAGGAAGCCTGGATATACTGGATTTCTCGTCTTCATCAGCATGCATGTTTTCTCCTTCCAGAATTGAATAACTTCGATTCAAGTTTCTCAAATTATCGGTACATTCTGTGTGATCGTGTACGTGCTGTAGACAATACATCCTCATAAATGTATTCCTCTACAAATACTGATAACTCGATCAAAGAAGCTTTGAGATCTTGACTATATGCACGATCTGACGTCAATCAATTTTTCGTCGGAAAAGATAATGCATCATTCGAAAAAAAATTAACAATTTTGATCGCAGAGACGATCAAGAATTAAAACTAAAACTTCATTCCGCGGGTGTCCCCAGCAGCACATGCAGTTTCGAAGCAGTGTCGCGAGAAAATGAGCAATTTTCGTATGCCCGCGGTATTGGCATGCGAATCAAACTCGGAATTCAGGGAAACCCAGGGATAATCGCCGTCCCTGATTCCATTCGCTTCAGGGCAAGATATCGTGTATAGAGACGATGAGGCATCTCTTTTCGGGGATGAATACACTGTGATCATCGCGCGGGGCAGCAACGGAGAGGACACGGGCTAGCTAGTACCGCGTGCGGAGGCAATCAGCTCGGCATTCAGCGGACAATGCGGCAAATGATTCCCTATATACAGTATATACCCGTGCATGCAGTCTGATGGGAAAGCGAGCTATTCAAAAAACTACACAATAAACATCCATCCATCTCGCGACGAAATTTACGACGCTGCAATCGGCGGCGCGAGAAAATCGGCCAATCAGCCGGACAATAAGCGGGCTCATTGTGCGAGCATCGGAGTCCGAGGAATAGGAAAACTCTAACTTATTCTGCTGTCCGATTGGGCTAATGAAGTTACGCATAACTGCACTCCGGGACAGCCACCGAATGAAACAAGCACACATGATGTGGAACCAAATTGTTCTTTCATGGCTATAGCACTGTATATTGTCATTCTGTACTAGCTTATACACGCATGTTCTGTATTCAAGAAATCGAGGGAAACATATATAGTAGGACATCATCATGCACAAAAGAATTTCTAGCAATTTCCATGTCACTCATTGAAAAGCTTGATCTAAGGAGCACCATAATATACTGTATATAAGGAACCTCAAATAGAAAGATTATATCGCAAGTTTGAACATATTCAAGAATTCTGACCAGATTTTGGGCTGCTATACACGAGGAGTCTAAAAAAAGTTATCAAACGGCCGGCATACGGTTGAGCTGAAAAAAAAAGATTTCTTGTTCATATAAAAAGCATCCTTCGGCTCAAGAAAAAAATTAGCCCTGTTGGAAATATTTTGCGTAAATGCAAAAGTCACCATATCAGCTTTTTGCTCTTGACTCAAAAGATGAGGAGCCCATCTTTCAGATTTTTTTTTTGTGCAGCCCAGTTTTTCCTTCAGAATTTTTACAATCGAGATGATCCATGAAATTGATACCATTTTAATTCCAAGAATTCTGAAAGAGAAGCTGGCCTACACAAGAAAAATGTGCGAGATACGTGCCTCATTTTTTGATTGAAGAGCAAAAAACCATCAGGGTGAATTTTGCATAAGATTTTTGTAAAATATGTCAAACTGGGCTGAATTTCTTCTTGTGCCAAAGAATTTTTTCTCTAAACAGTTATTGTTTTCAGCTCAATTGTCTGCAGTTTCAATTTTATTCCGAGAACTTTTGTTAGATTATATGACCTGACATGAACTTCTATAATGTTCCAGCATGTGATAAACTGACCTCTGAAGAGAACACTTTTGAGGGGTCGGTCAATTGCTGAGATAAACCCATCTATCATGCACTGTTTGTCGTATTTTATCCAACGAAGATAATGCGACGAGTGGCCAAGGAATTCAGAAAGAAGATCAGAGCAAATAAGCAATATGAGAAATACATTTCATAATGAAGTCCCACATAGAGAAAGTCTCCAGCAGACACTCGAATAGTGAAATAGACCGGGGACTTTCTACCACATGCTCCAATAGTAATCCTCGACAATAACACAGTACAGTACTGTACATTCAAATGCAGTATATTTGGGGAAGTCAGGAAATTTAGTTCTTCTTCCTTACCGTTCACCATTGAATTTAGCATGGTCGGCCACGTTATGGAACAGTGCAGAATATGTCTTCTTAGAAGTTTTCATGATAGGATTACTGTATTTTCTCTAAGATCAGAAAAGGGATTTTTAAGATTGGTACAAGGCATACAATACTTGAGCGAAGTGTCAAACATTTTAGCAATCACGTAAATTTCTTTTCTTCCAAAATTGTGGATCAGCGAAAACAGATGAAAGAAGCCGGAATATCTTTCGGAAATAATACCAAGGAATTCTAGCCAAAAAAATATCCAGAGTTCGAAGATATGAAGGGATTCTGAAGCATAAAGGTTCAACTAGAGCAGAAAAATGTTCTGGCTTTTCTCTCACAAAGAACACCATGCCACACACAGATTACTGAACCACAAATTTTTTCTCAGCATTCAAAGGAAAACCTTTCATTTGTGCACGGCTTCGCATAAACAAACTTCGAAATAAAATCTTTGATTCGCTCATCGTAAGTTGGGCGCGGATCGTCGCGAGTTTTGTAGCTCGTCCAGAGATCAGTCGTTAAAAAAGCAACTCTTCGCCATTGGGAAATCATCAAATGCATCTGTATTCTTCATGGATTCAGTCAAAGAGGTAAAAAATTAAAATAACAGCCATGTACCTCAACAGCAACACCATGTTTCCAACAGAAATCGCATCAATGTATTCGTGGTGTAAATGCGTATCAGGAACGGCACGAGACAAACATTTTTCATATCTTTGAATACCATTCCCCAGTATAATGAGATCGAAGTTCCAATAAACAATCCCCTGAACAAATTAACATAAAGTGCACAAACATGGACCGCAGTCGAAGGCAATACAGTAAAACCGATCCAAAGAAATGCAATTCGTTGGATTGAATAGATTCACGGTTCTATCCGGCAGCAACGGAATTCTAAAATTCTTTCGAAGTTGCGCTTTAATCCTACTCCAACCATTCCTCCATCACATTCGACATTCCATCGCTTGTACAAATCTGAGGCGCCGCCAGATTTCTCATCGGTTAGTATCACACGGCAATCGTCGTAATTTATCTTGGAGTGCTTCAATTTTTGACATTTCCCGAACATGACGCTGTCAAAATCGTAGAATTCGTCCCAGAGAGCTGGATAGACATAATGGAAAACATAAACTTAATTAAGGGGAGCTCAAGACTGCTAAAAATTAGGATTTAATCCATATACCGTAAATACAGTACTGTATATTGAGGTGTCACCAATGAGACAAAAACTTACCCGTCAAAACATAGTCCTTCGGGCACAAATCAACAGGAGTCGCAGAGAAAAACTGAAGCATCGATTGATCGAGGAGAGCGGTTTCAAAGGATGCGCTACCTCTTCGACACTTCACCTTATCGATATCTCCGAAATTATTGGCATCGTCCCTACAACATTTATCGTGTCAAATACAGTATTGCACAAATTCGAAGGATTTCAAAAATTAACCAGATGGCAGTGATGATTCCTCGAAATTCGCTGGGATTTTCATTACAATCGACGTTCCACGGTTGATGTGAAAGATCCTTCCGACCACCTTGTTTCCCATCCGTCCACAACACTTTCTCATTTTTCGGATTTTGTTCAGCGACAGCCTCGACAAGCTAAGGGAAATAATCGAATTATCACAAAATAGGTTTGCCATGAATGAGTATTTACCCAAATAAAATGACTGAGTAAAGCCACAGCCAGATCTACACGACGCATTTTCCCAGAAAACCACTGGTTACCTGAAAAAAAAAAAGTTCGGAACCCGCAGAATCAATACGAATTCTTCAGATGCCTTAAGAATATTATAAAATGTTTTTTAAAAAGCAGTGTTTCCGGGCTCAAGCTGTTCAGTATCACACGAAAATCCGTCAAAATCCGAAACCATCACGCGTTCGCAATTTCAGTCGTCAGCCATTTGCCACTTCGGTTCGCACCCAATCGACGAACTTGGAGACCCTTGAGTAAACTCCAGGCTTGAAGGGCTTTGCACATTTGATTCCCCACGAAACAATGCCGATCTCAGTGTATTTTCCTTCCAACGATACGAACAATGGTCCGCCGCTGTCGCCCTGAAGGTAGTCGTCGACATGTAATTATTTCATTTCCAACGATCGAGTCAATTTATACAGTACACTGCAGGAGTCTTTAAATCCGAACCATCCACCACACAATTCGTTGTCGTTGACCGTACTTTTTCCGAGTGACATGACGCCCAGCAAGAATTTGCAGAATGAGTTTGAAATAATCGGCACAGTAACTTGCCTCAGGTTAGCCGGCATTTTTCCAACTGTAAATAGTCTCGGAGGAATTAGGGAAGAAAACCTTGTCGTCGTTCAAGTGATACTAAAAGTGGTTTACTCGAAGTCTTTGGAATCGCCTAAAAGCGGTATGGTCAGATGAAACACGAGAACCAATTTCTGGCGACTGAATTCGTCACTGTCACAATTAATACGAGAATTGATAAAAAAAGAAGCGATTCACAATAAAGGAAACAAAAAAAGTACTTTAGGCTCTTCCAGATGCTCCCCGTAGTCGAACATTAGAGGTTCCTCAATAGTGACGTGATTACTTCTTATATCTCATATGCTTTTAAATATTTGTTTAAAGAGATTATTAAAAATCGGATCCAGTACAAGGTTATAATTGCTAATGAGCCAAAATTTGTTGGAGACTCCTGCAAATTTTGCAAAACTCGTACGATCGCAATAATAGGAAGATAATTTACAAAAGAAAAGTGTTCCCCATCCGATCACGGTTGCTTCCATGCCGTCGGAGTCAAAGTCAGTCGGTGGCAAGCACACCGGCTGCACGTAATTATCCCACACTACCGACCGTTCCAACTTCAGCAATGCCACGTCAGGGCCGCTAAGTTTAACTGTACAGTACAACATGCACAAGAACAATAAATCAGATCTAGGACATTTCCATTTAACTCGCGCGACACACGTACACGTTGACGAGGAGTAATCGGGATGTATGATTCGCTTAATCGCGAGAATGCTTTCTTGATCAGGATTCTGCCCTGCTTCAGATGCAGTGTCTTTGTTGTAATCTCGAATAACCACGTAAATACTGTTGGTGTCGCTCCCTACACTGCAAAAAACAAGAGACATCAGAATCATGCCAACCAATGTCGCGAAAATCAACGTTTCTATCAATCATCATTCGACTTTCTGACCGGCACATTTTCAACTAAAAACCAAAGATTCGAAAAAACGAATACTCAAGGTCAAGTATACTTAATTAACTCCGGACACTGACATTTTTCTAGGATTGCGGATTGGAATTTCATAATTCATAAAACTATGCCGTACTTCGAAAATTGAGCGATTCTGCTGAATCATGCACCAATACTATTAATTTCTTTGAATGACCGAGGATCAGCTTGGTTTGATTCGGTTTTCCGCAAGAACAAAATATAGGCACACTGTTCGGATTTAAACGAAACAAACGCGGAAACTCAAAAAATCAAAACAAAAATTATGAGAACGGATTCACACATGCGCAGATGTTTAACCCGGAACCAGAAGTAACGGGAGATTTCAAGTGACGAAAATTGCGATAACAAGTTTCGAAGATCGGAATTGTTTTCAAAAGAAACAGCATTCAGTATTTCATGTTTTTCGTGCGATCCATGCAGAAATTTCTAAACTAAAGCATTTGACGATCAAGAGTTGACCACAGTATTCTGTCGCAGGATCACGCGACTCTGCGGTATTCGCTATCCTTGCTTCTGAAGATTTAAAAAAAAAAAAGGTACGTCGAATTTGCGGAGAGACGACCAACGCGTGGTAGTCAAGGACTTTGTCGAAATGCCCTAAATTAGTCAATGAAATCGAAACACATTCAAGAGTATTGAAGTATTTGAGTCCGCAAAAACTTTCACAAATAACCAATCCTCATTCCACCACGAATTTTCCGATCTTACCTACACGCAGCGGACCTCTGACGGTCCGAACACAATTATTTCAACCCATGGCCTGAAGGAGATCTGCTTTCACTCACCAGTGCGCAGCTGTCATAGCCCACTGCTCGTGGATCATCGACGCACCACAGAAGTGGGAAGTAGGAGACGCTTTGCTTGACAATGAAACCATGAAAGGATACTGCCCCCGGGCAGCGTCATTGCCTCCAACGATGTACAAACCCGAAGCAGCCACGTTACCAGGATATCCACCGTTTCTTCGAAACAACAACGAACCGATCGGGCTGTTTCCGCATTCGACAGTCTGAGCAACTGAACCGTGTCCAAATCACACAGAGTGCAACCGAATTCAAAGGAAACTATGATGTACTCGACTTAAAGCAAGTACAGTACTGTACTCACGGTTCACTGGACTTGCGCAGTCACCAAAGGTGACAAATTGTGAGGCTATGAACAGCACGCGAATCAAAATTATTCTCACATTCCACATACTTCCGGATTAGCTGGGGCTACATAGAAATTATGAATCCGTCACACAAAAGACTGAACCATTCAAGCGCAGCTATGCAGACGGACTACAAAATTTCTATTACCTCTTGGGAACGGAGTACCGCTGTAACCTGCGCGACAAACTTTTTGTGAACTGGCGCTTCAACTTAACTTCATTGTTTACTTCGAAATGACGTCGAACGTTGCTACGTCTCATGTCTACTCGGAACCAGCAAGCGGAAAATGCAGCGTTAATAATTCGAAAACAGCACATGAAGTTCATAAAATCCAGCGATGAACGCTCACAATAACAGCAGTTTCTCTTCTGTAAAATATCAATTTCTGAGAAAGCCCAACTCGTTAAAGGAAAACGAAATATAATACGGTACCTCGAAAGGAATGTAGTTATTCCAAGAAGCTTTGCCTGAAATGACACTAAATCCAGAAAAATCTTCTGGAATCAATTTAAGTTACCTCACCATTTTGAATTCAACTTGTGATCATTGAAATTCCAGATTACTTGAGCCTTCCACCCTAAGTACCGTACAGCCTTGACAGGTTTGTGATTCTGTCCGTCATTAGATCAAAAGTTGAAGGTGATTTTTGGGGTTTCTGGACGGTTTCTATTCTGGATCATTCGAACCAGAATCGACAATGATAAAAATTGTACGACAGGAAAGCGGCGAAGAATCGTGTAAAATTAAATTGAGATGAGCCAGACACTTCACAGAAAAACTTTTCTTGTGTACACGCACACAAATTGGACAAAAATTAAAAGCATCACCCCCTCCAAAACACCATCGAGACGCATTGCGTGGCGGCCGCAATCCAGAAGAAATCCAAATCGTAAGAGAATTCTACGCTACATAGTTGTACATCGTAGCTGTGTCTTTGTCACGTTCCATGTAATCTCTGTCGATCAGTGATTCGATCCGTTTCTTCAAATCTGCCGGCTGTAGATGAAGATGATTCCAATCAATTCGTGACAATATAATTTTCAATCTTCTTCGAAGGTTCAGTGATCACCTTGTCCTATACAGTACAGGGACAGTATTTGTTGAATGAAGTCAGATTGAGAGGAAAACGAACAGCGACATTTAATCCAGAATAACCGTTAGAAATATACTTCTGAAGAACCCAAAAAAAAAAAATAGCAAAATCCGAACGAACAACTTCATTGTGCTTTGGAAAACAGGGGATTATTACATCATTGATGATGGAATCACGTATCAACCTCGCAGGCCATTACAGACGGTAATTTTCGAGGAACACGGATATAACTACAGTACATCGATTCATACCTTCACGGGGAATTTGAGTTGATGAAGCAGCTCATCGATGAGGAGGGTGTGGGAAAGTGCTTTTCGCATTTTCATAATTCGAACGATGGCAGCATCGATCTGATATTGTCGATCTTGAAAAACACGCTCGTGAGTGCTTTGATTTTCTTCCACGGTTTCTTTCAACTGGATCGAATTGATTTTGATTTTATACAGCTTGTTGTAGAAGGCTTTGTTGAATTGCAAAATGTCGTCATCGTCAACGTCTTTACCGCGTGGATTTTTAACGATCACACGCGTTCTTCCACAAGCAAGGCTTTGCAGAGTTCGCTTCAACTCCGTGATCTGTTGAGTAAATAATTTCACGGATCAAAGAAAATCCTTTTACTTTTTAACATTTGCTTCAAAAAACAATACCAGAAATTGACAACGTGAATTCGCAAGAAATGAACGTCCTTAATAACGTAGTTAACTTTTGATTTTAGAATGAAAAACAACAAACACCATCATCTGAATATAAAAGTGAATGCAACGTACGCTCCATTGAGATTCTATAATAATTTCACTGCGATGCAATACTGTACAGTACCTCTATATTCGTATGTTTCCGGATCTCATCGACGCTGAATTCCAAGCCAGCATTGAAAATGAGCAAACACAACGCTTGGAAGAGCGAAACTTGAAGTTCTTTGCTTCCTTGAGGAAAACTGGCCCGAAGCAGGCACTGTCCCAAAGCAGGCTGCCACTGTAGTTTCCTCCCCGAATGCTTTCCTAAATAGAACTTTGTGAAGACGTCTTGAAGGATCACCATTTCGGATGGCAAGTGCACTTCCATGGGTTGGTAAGTAGGCCAGTAACCCATCGTCAATATACTGACGTTCAGGTCCAGCGGTGGGACAGATTGATGCTTCATACTTGAGATGTGCTGGAATTACAGGACAAAAATTTAACTCTTTACGGTATGACTGCGCATAAATATAGAGGTACAGTATTAGACAAACCTGTCTAAAAGCCTGCATGATGTCTTTCGACAATTCCATATCCTTGAACATGCCTTCCAGCTTGCAAGTAAATCCGCCACCACATTCTTGTTTCAACTTAGACAACATGCTTTTCTCCGCATCAACACTTGCACTTTTACCCATCAAGAGCCGCTTGGCAAGATCTTTCTTATAAAAAGCCTCGAAAACATCCTTTCCGTGGATAAATCTGAAGAGGACCATGATCTTATCCAGCAGCCGCTCCAGTTCTTCTTCTGTAGCTTCCTTGTTACCAGCTCGCAACTTTGAATCGATGAATTTAGCTGCAGATGAGTGAATAAAATTAGTACACCCGTGCTTTGAAAAATACCCAAGAATCGCACAAGACTTTTAAACGAGGTCTGCAAATATTTTTTCAAGATTCAGCGAAAAAAAATTGGAACCTTGTCCATTTTCCGAAAAATTAACATCCTTCCCATTTTAGAACATTGCTTACGATAATATTAATAAGCTCTTGCTTATAGAAATACTCCACTCACCGATATACTCGGCAGGTTTATTTTGGCGTTGATTGATGAAATGCTCGAACGCATCTTTCAAAGAAACTTGGAACTTGGCATTCGACCGGAAACAAGTCTCTACAACATTATCCATCTGGTCTTTGAATTCCAGCAACTCCTGGACCATTGACCTGTCATTTTCTGACTCGTTGGGTATCACAATAGTTCGGCCACGTTTCTGGAGAGTCAAAAATATATTAACAAATCACTTCTCAAAGATAGCATCAAAAATTTTAAACCTTGATATATGCATTGAAGCATGAGTTCAGCTCTTTCAACCCATCCTTCACCCGACTGAAAAGACCGTACATGAGACTAAGGTCGTTAACTCGGTTGTCTTCCAGTAGTTTATCAAGACCTTTCGCTAACAAGTTAGGTACGTGATCGCTGATCAACATTTTTTCCACACAACTCGTCAGAGCTTTCTTTGTAGTCATGTCCAGATAATGCAGAACGCGCTGGTCCTCCTCTTGTAATCTTCGATTGACATGCGCCAAGTATTCGACGACATCCAATCTTTCAACGAGCTCCTTTCCCTCTTCCGAGTAAAGATCCCCAGTAGCCACGAGAAATTTCTTTTCAAAGCTTTCTTGATATATTTGCAGGTCAGACAGCATTCGCAGGAGTGATCGAAGTAAATTTCTGTCTATCGATTCGCCCTTCCTCTCACGCTCTATTTTTGACAAGATACCATCAGACGTGCGACTTTCCACTCTTGAATGTTTTACGATGTGCTCCCGGAAAAGATCCAACCCGAGATCCCTGAAAATGTTGTAGTGTTTCAAAACTAGCAAGAAACATAACACGTACAATCGGTGAATTCATCTTACCATATAGAAACGACTCCAGGTGTTTGCAAAATGTATGTTCGATCGAGGAACAAGAAAATCTGGCGAATCATCATCATTTGCTGACAATGGGCTTGCCAAGCGTCATTGATCATGCCCAAAAAGCAATCGTGATCAGCTTCGGACGTGATGAATTGCTCGATGTTGGCACGAACATGTTCCTCGATCAGAGCTTTCAATTTGACATAAACATCGGAGGCAAGATTAAAATTGCACAGATTTTCGACTGCACTATACAAAGATTCCAGAGAAGTGGAAACAGGCTTCCTTTCTTGAATGGCAACAACCGCATTTTCAAGTGACTTCCACGCAACTTGAGGGTAGTTCTCAGGTATTTTTGGCAGTTCTACGAAAAAATGGCTGTTGAATACCACAAAAGGAAACACAGAATTGGTTAATAAAACCTCTGAAATTCTTGATGACCAGCTTCTTCGCACCCGACGGACACGTTCTATTAGCTCCGATGAGAGACTTCACATGGTTTGAAACTCCGTTCTTCGCTTTATCAAAACGCTTTTCATCATCGTAGATAGCATCACTCGAAGCGTCGACCTCCATCACGGGAAGGGAGGTCGAGAAATGACCAAATTTCGGCACAAAATCGAAGGTATTTCACAGTCGAGATAATATGCCTTTTTCAATGACGGCCGCGCCCATTACTTTCACTGGAGACCCGACATTTTTATCACACGAACTAAAATCATATCATGCACATCCAAGAAAATTATAAGACCGAAGTAGAAACGTTTCACCCGATACTAATGACAATCATAAACTTGAACACAACAAGAGAATCATAACTTGGTGATTATTCTCGCCTTCAGGAACCAGCAAAGAATGGGCACGAACGGATTTGCGAAGCTTTTCCGGACTAAGGAAAAAACATACCTGAAGTACAGCGAACAGCAGGAAGAATGACTACTCTTAATTTCGAATGCCTTTAGTCAAACCATTCGAGGACAATCACACCACTTGGTTCAGATATCCACTTAGAGGATCCTCAGTCCATTCCCAGCACTGTACAGGACAACTTTAATTCAATGTGATAAGAAGCGCCGACGGAACACGTTCACTGCCGGTCCCAACAAGGAGTCTAAATATCGATCTCAACGATGTGACGATCAGTGAGGAAGTTCGAAATTGCGGTGCGATTATTCAAACTTCTTCTACTCTTCTTTTCGATTAAAAAATCACGTTTGCTTAATAGAATTGACGACAGCGGTCTGCTAACCTTCCTCCTGCAATCTCAAACACGCACCCGCCGAGAATCGGAAGAAAACAGGACATTTTCGCTACAATACTCAATGCGTAAAGGTAGGCTCTTTGAACGAATATTCATTTCAAATGTTAATAGATGTCACATGAGGTAACATTTAAAATTTCAATGGCGTAATTAGAGTACTTCACCGTATCTGTGCGGTAATGTAAAAGTGCATGACTTGTGCATGAAGAATGTTCATGGCTTCAAATACACTGCGCTACAGGAGTTCAGGATATACATTATACAGTACTGCACTATGAAATGTGTGTCGATTATGATGGTTATTCTTGATGGAATTCGCACTGCTGTACATCACAGTACAATGATGGTCTTGGGCAACAAACACGCCCCGATGAAAAACAAACAACTTAAAAAATAATAAATGAATAACAAAAATAGCAAACTTGATGGGTGTGTCCACCTTTTTCCCTCAAGCAACAAACTTAAAGGAACAAACCTTAAATCAAGAAGAAAATAAACAAGAAATTTACAGCAACAAAACATTTTAAAAGTCGAATAATTATATTCACTAAATATGGGAATTTAAAATTAAATTCGCAATCAAAATTTGGAAAGAAATTAAATTTTCGAACGGTTTGACAATTTTTTGATACCATTATCTTCAATTGAAAATCCTTATGTTAACAAATGAATATTCTTCGTGCTAATTTTTGTTTTACCTTGATTGTTCTTCGTGCTGAAACTAATATTGAAACATCTGCCGAGAAAGGATATAATTTAGATTTGACAAAAAACATTTTGAATAGCAATAACAAACGTCACCTGCAATAATGAATAACAGAACACAAATGACGAACGAGTTGCTTTAGGTTTTAGGAGAATTCGTTATTTTCCTTTTATGTAAAAATTTGATCGATATAAAATAGACAAGACATACACGGTACAGCCTAAGTTCGAGAATTAAAAGACCAATATTTTTCTTTCAAATGTACATATCGTATGCACCAAATGTTGGCTGAAATAAAAAAATTGAACTCTTCAAGTATTTCCCGCGTATTACCCGAAAAACCAAAATCCAAACTACTGAAGAGCTTTCAAGCATTCACAGAGAACATTTTCCAATAATGATTGTACTGTATGTGTATAGGTATATGCAATATAGAATGAAAAACAATCTACTGTACAATAAATGGCACGGTCAATTATTAGATGAATTCAAATAAAAATATGTTTTTCATCGCGGGCTCCAGGATATAAACCAACCATGGTACCAAATAGTATCGTGTACAGTATCTTCAAAAAGCGAATGTCTGTAAAATAATCTATACGAAACCGATTCATGAAAAAATTGCAATTTGAGCATATAGTACATAGTGTACTGCTGTATTGTATTACAGTATGTTTAGATGAACTGCTGGCTAAATCGCTCCAGTTTGAAAGTGCAAAAAGCCCGCCAGTTGGAACGGAAGAAAAGTCGAGGTTTAAACATGGCGGCCGAGCTTTCTGAAGTAAATGCCCTTCATTATCTATATGCCCATCTCTTGTCCTGTCGATTCTTGTATTTTGGTCAATTTACTGCATTAATTTGTTGGATATTTCTTCTGACATTCAGAGAAATTATTTGTTCGTCCAATTCAATGGCTGTGAAGTGCCGAGCGTCTTGACTATCTGGACTCAGTGCGTTGGAATGATTTTCGATTATTCCTTCGAATTTTCGAGGTGCAAATTCTATGAGTCTTGTGAAGGTCGTTGTCTAATTCAATCCAAAGAAGCTTTTGTCTTATAGAGGTTCTGTGCATCCTAAGTATGCATATATGATTTCCCAGTTGTGTGAATTAATTTTTCAGCATTGAGTGCCATTGCTATTGGGTAGTGTTCGTCGCTGAAATTTTCAGCTCACAGAATTACATGTCATGAATTCGAAGTGGACTGATGATCTCAATCGTATGCCACTCATGAAAAATAGTACGCTTGATTATATGCTCAGAAATACCGTGGTTTGTGGGACGCTTGCTTAATGGATGTTGGAAATGTAATACTACGCTTTAGAGTCGTAGGAAGGTTGTAATTCTTCCAGATGGAAATGCTAGGAGGTATGTACTGCACGTGGATTTTTCTTGTCAACCGGTCGCTTAACTCTGATGTTACTCACCGGCGGAAAAGGTCTCGGAGCCCATGGACATGTGGACGGATTAGACTTCATGAATTATCCCCCTCAGAACGGGATCCCTCAGGAATCCAAGCTGCTGACGTATCTTGGGGTGAGATGCCTGTTTTGTGTGTTCCCTAAAAATCAAGTTGGCCATTTCTTATAAATCAGGGTCGTGGCGGTATTCCTGAAGATGGGATGTCCAAAATTTTACCGTCTATGGCAGTTGATGACAAAAAGGTCAGTTTTATTTTATTGTACATTATCGGACTATATTCTGGGATGATCGTTTATTCCTGTGCAATATTCTCAGTCTGCCACGCAGAGCCCATACCTTCAGCGATCTATGACGCCGCAATCATCGCTTACGCATAGTGTATCGACGCCATCATTTGCATCTGCTTATCAACGAGGATTTTCGATTGATGGATCTCTTTTAAGAAATGGCGTTGATCATGCTTCGAGTTTTCCACCCTTGCCAAATGTGGGCACGTCTGCGATGTCGATGAATTTACCAGGATCTGCGTCTGTGACGAGCTCCGGCCGTTTCACGCCATCACCATCAATGCCTGGGATCATGTCTCCTACTCGTATTACTCCTCAACATTCTCCTCCTAATTCGCGTCGGCGGTCTCCGTCACGCACGACGGAAGCATCATCTCTTTACCACGAAAATGTGAACGGAACTACTTACTTCTACACTCAACCAGCAAATGGGAGTGTTACGGGACTTGAGGAGGATATGTCCGGGGTTACTTTAAATGGCGTGCATCCTCCAGGAAATTCTCGCTTTGGCGTAACAACGAATGAAGTGCCAGGTGTAATCTTGCCTGATTATCACATGTTCCCGGGGCAGCCAGCGCACATAAATCTCATGCAGCCGAAAGCGAATACGCCTAGTTTTTTCATGCCCGACGAGTTGCGTGCAGCTCTACTTCGTCAAAACCAGTTACGACTTGCTCGAGCTGATCCGGAAGTGTATCCAAGTATGAAATAGAACATTCTCTTCACTCTTTGATACGTGAAAAAAAAAATCAAAATCAAGTGAAAACTACGGTTGTTAAATATCCGCCCCAACGTATCACATTATTCCTATTAATTTATCACGTCGATGTGTTCATTGACCTTATCAGGACTGCTCGGAGATCAAATTTCAGTTTGAGTAATGCAATTCATCCCGCTCATTTCAAGTGATCGATACTTCAGACAATTTTGGAGAAGCGCGGGAAATCACCTTGACTTCTTACGTGCTGATTATTTTTAGAATGACTGAGTTTTTTTTTTTTTCTTTACATCAGGTATACATTTTCTTCATCCCTCTTTCATAGATCTTGTGCACGAGGTTGATAAATACCACGACTTGTGCCCCCTTGAACCGTTGCCGTCTTCGCCTCATCACAAATCAATCGTCTTTGGATGCGTAACTTCCGTGTACAAAGCCACAAGTTCGAAGTCAGGAGAACAATTTACCCTGCGTCGCGTTCACGGTGAGGAAAAAAAACCATTGGTATGAAGCTATCATATCTTATTGATAATTTTGGTTTACCAGGATATCGTCTCACGAGCAACATGAACATGAAAACTGTTCAGGCATGGAGGGACTTGCAGCATTCCAATATTGTTCAGTTTCGAGAGGTGTTTACCACGAAAACGTTTGGTGATAATTGTGAGTTTTGGTTGGGAAAGCGTGATGTACCCTCTGAATCTATGGTGGTGTTCGATTGCAGCGCTGGTTTTGGTTTATGATTACCATCCTGGAGCTGAAACTTTGCAAAGCCGACATTTCAGCGGTGGTATGTCATCGTCGACGGTCTCGTCAGGTGGAAGTAATCCCTTTATCGGGGCTTCTGAGGGTGGAATGACTGCAGCTGGAAGATCGTTTGGTCAGCAAGGAAAAGCCCCGAATTTGCGTCAGCACTCGGGTAATTTGAACTTTTTTTCTGCCAGACTTCGCTGCAAGTTTTTCGAAAATTTGCTGCAATGAAAACAAAGAAAAAATCTTCCTTAAAATTTGCATCAGAAAATGTCCATAAATGTAATGTATCCTAGCAATTATTGATGCATGTGCGCAGTTCATTTTTTACGCTTTGATTCTATAAGCGATGTTCAGGTAATCACATTGCTTTAAAATTCTGGAGTGGATGTATTTTAATTCTCCGTCACATTTTTCTTCAGGATTATTGCCGGAAAGCTTGATCTGGAATTATGTGATCTACATATCTTCCGCCTTGAGGACTATCCATGCGGCTGGTTTGGCTTTTCGTTCTCTACATCCTTCGAAAATTCTCATCACCCACAAATCACGTGTGAGGCTTAGTTGCGGAGGAATGGCGGATCTGATTTCTCCGGCAGAATCAGCCAGTGCAATACACGCTTTTCAGGTTCGTTTTCGGATGGAACTTTTGATATGCAGAACGCTAATCTTAAGCTGGAATTTAGCAAGAAGATTTGATGGCTCTGGGTAAACTCATTTTGGCGCTTGCTTGTAATACTCTCATGGTGTTGCAATCGAGAGAGAGTATGCATACGTCAATGGATATTGTGACGAGAAATTATTCCGTGGATTTGAGGAACCTCATCACGTGAGCTCTCTAAAACCGCAACGAAATTTCGCGATTTAGTTTGCGTGATCCATCATTTTTATTCAGCTACTTACTTGCGACTCAACGAACGAAAGCTGTAATTGATATCATGCCAATGATCGGTGCTCGTTTCTATACGCAATTGGATTCGAGTACCCTTCGTGGAGATGTGATCGAGGCGGAATTAGCAAAAGAAGTGGAGAACGGAAGATTATTCCGGCTGATATCAAAACTTTGCACGATCATCGAGCGGGCCGAGTAAGAAATTTGTCGATTTTTCCATATTGTCGATGAAACTTAATTTGTTTGATGCCAGTTTAAACATGGATATGAATTGGAGCGAAACTGGAGACAGGTACATGCTGAAGCTCTTCAGAGATTACATATTTCATCAAGTTACGGAAGAGGGTCAACCATGGCTGGATTTGTCTCATGTCGTCTATTGTCTGAATCGCCTGGAAGCTGGGTCCAATGAAAAGGTGAGTCATTGCCGAGAAGCGTGGAAATCTACAAGGTGGCGGCATAACCAGTTCATATGTAATGGACGTTTCCCTCATAAATTCGTGATAATTAAGCGTCAGGGAAACAAATAAACTCGCCATAAATGAAATATTTTATTAATAAAAAGATCACTTAAAAATTTCATGAATTCCCCGTAATTTTCACGTATTTATACATTTTTCAACGCATTCAAATTAATTTGCTGTGAAGAATCATTAACTTCACGATAAGCGTGATCATGGGCGCCGAAGAATGCGTCTGCGAATTCTCTCATGTTCTCACTTCCTTTGGGGGTGATTTCTGTTTTTCAAAACAGCAGTTCTGATTAATTTTTTGTCCTCCATTCATCTTTCTAGACAATCTAGAGTATTCTGTTTTCATTTCCATTGTTGAGATGACACATTTTTTGAGGGGTTTCGAGTGCTTGATGGAAACCTGTTCGAGCTGATGTGTTGGATCTCGATTTTTATTTCTGTAGATTGCATTGATGTCACGAGATGAGCAAAATATACTTGTGGTCTCCTACACGGAGCTGAAACATTGTATGGAGCAGGCTTGGCAAGAAATCGAAGCATCTGCAACGAATCCTGCGGAAGGGGGCGCCTTGCCACGCCCAGGTCCTGGCCGCTCAGACTTGGCTCACACCGTCCCCGCACAAAGTGCCAATGATGCCGATCACTCCGTAGGAGATCCAACGGGCCTAGGTGACCCCCGCTTGCTGCAGCGCGCAATCGGTCATGTGCTAGACTCGTAAATGTAACGGAAGAACGTGGTTCCAGCTGTCATCGGCGTTGTGTTAGCCTGTTTTTTTTCCATGGCCTCAACGTGTTGATCTCCGCGCTCCGAACTGGGGGGAGCAGACATTTATATTTTTTCTGAGAGGCTCTTCCCTGTGAAGGCAGAGCGAGGTTTTCAAAAAATGCCTTCCTCGTCGTGAGAAACTCCAGTGTGGCAATTTTGTTGAAAAAAAAGAGGAGTGTCATGGACCGGGGACGTCTTGTGCCCTTTTGAGAAAGTCTGTCGGCCGTGAGTAGATCTTGATTGATAGACGGTATGAGATCCGTTGCAGGCATTGACGATACGTGGGTTCAGATCGACAAAGCCGCATCTGCTTTATTGTGATAAGGGATTAGGTGTTCGCGCCCATTTTCTAAATGAGAAAGACCTTCCGTGCGATTTTTACTCGGTGGAGCTCGCTTTGAACTTGGATCTGATTCCCGATCTTTTGAGAGTAGAACATGGCGGTTGGTTGGCAAGTCAACCTGTGGCTTTGTTCTTTTCATTCGCAAGTCCGCAAGAACTAGGCTGAACATGCAACTGCTTATCCTGCAAAACGGCCTGACGGTCTTGATCCTGTGCTTCGTTTAGGCACACTCGAATATTTTTTTAAACATCTTGAGCAACAAACTTCCGCTGGAAGTAAAGCGGGTATGGATTTTATCTCGGCGGAATTTGTGGAAGGACCGAATTTTAAATTTCAAACCCCCTTTCCTTGTAGAAAACCTCGATGAGCTTGTCGAGAGCTTTCTTGCCGAAAGTATTTCTGCATCCAACGAAATCATGGCATTCGGTTTGAGTTTCTCTTCGCTTTGGTTGGATCTCTGGTTCGCGCGCCGATCTGATGATTCAACGGAAGAGTTACGCAATAATTGAGATGCTGACGGTTCAGCTCAATAAGTCTTTCCACATGGATAGTCGACATGAGGTATTCGTTCGCGGTTTTTAGTCCTTTTTCTATCTCGCTTGATGCGTGAAGTTAACGATGCTCGTGATCCGTTCAAACGATTTTATTTTTCTTTATTTTGCCAAAATCTGCGCTCAGGTTGTTCATGACGAGAGGATTTATTTCTCGGGAGATAATCCAATTCCAGTGAGTTGCAGTACAAAGACGAGGAAAAAATTATTCAGGGGAAGCGAGAGTTGAAAACTGGTGATCGAGGAGTTTTTTTTTTGTGCTCGTCTGTTTATGTTTTTTCCAATCGAAAGTTTATTGTGAAGCTTGAAAGGCGATTTCTGTTGCGGCTCATGGCTGAGAAAAAAAAGATCCCGGTACTTCACAAACGGGAAATGATCGCACTTCGTGCTCGGATGACCGTACGCACACGTATCAACTGCAATGTCCCACCCAAGACGACTCGCGCTTGTAAATCTGTCGGTTGCGTTTTGGGGGAACCGTCATGATATGCGATAGTGACTTCGAAAATCCAATCCGAATTTCCGAGTTCTTCCAGAGCAGAAGCAACCTTCTCGTGAATGAGTGTGATTGTGTTGTGATTGTTTTAATTTCGTTTTGTCACCGCCTACGACGATGTCGACCGCGGCATGTGAAGAAAAGAGGGGCCTGAACAGTTACTGAAAAAATTTAAACGACTGGCTTCTCCGGGTAAATTGCGTAACGTTTGGGTTCCCCAAATCCAGCGAGGGTGAGGGATTTAGTGGCGCTGTGGAAGCAATTGAGCCAAATGTTTTCGGGTTGTTAACTCGGGTCGCCGACCAGAAGTTCGCCCCGCCGCATTGTTTGCTCTGGATTGATAAGCGTTCGAAATCAAATGGATTTGTTTTTAGCCAAGTACGAGGTTGCGGATCGTCAGCATCGGTCAAACGGTCTGGTTAATTTCTTACGTGCGTTTTTACTGTTTTAACTGAATCGAGTTATCTTTCTTCCGGTGGATTTTTTCCTCTCGGTTGGAACGCCGTTCTCTTGGGAGTATTTTCAAGATAATGCTCACGGAATGTCGCATGAACCGTTCCAATCTTCGACCAGACTCATGGAGAAATTGGTTCTTGCGAGTGCTACTTTGTTGTGTATCCGGACGTGTATCTGTTCAGTGTGGTACGATCGTTCGATGGAAATAAGGGCCGCTTGAGAAATCAATAAAGATATCTTCGAAGTGACTTTTTCGTCCGATTCGCTTGTTAACTGTGTCTCGTTTCTCCTGGTCCCAGTGATGAAGGTTAGCCTGAGTTCTTGTCTCGAGCGGTAACAAGTTCGTGATGTGAATGTGCGAGCGTGGAAAAAGGATTTTATTTTGGTGATTGGCTGTGATCTGCGCGAGACGGTGAAAAGCAAATATTTTACGAATTTTTCTGTTGTATACCGTATTTCAGTTCGCAACGGTGTCAGGGTCAACTGAAATCCTTGATAAGGGATTGCCTGTCGCTTGCTGTATCGGCGAGAAAATATTACGAGTTAAAATTTTTTATTGGATCAAAGAAATTTTCTTGAATGAATATTGAAAAGTTTCTGACTTCTCCTGGATACGTTTTGTGGCTGAATCCATGTCCAACTTTATTGCGTTTCAGTTACAACTTTGATATGAAGTATGTTTCATTTATGGATTTTATGCTATTGCGTAGGAGAATCCGTGAGCTTCCTTTCATCTGATCTAAAAAAAATCTTTTCTTGAGGTAAATTTCAGGCATTCAAACGTGTGTGAAAAAGAAATTGAATGGTTCATAATTTCTGTTCCAATATTTAGAAGATTCTTGTATGACATAATATAGTGAATTCCGAGTTATGATTAAAAAGGGCTTCGAATCAGATATTTCCAGGAAAAATGAACCGTGTTCATTGTGTTGAGGGTTGAAGTGGTCCTGAAGGGTAACTGGCTCATAGTGACGTTCCAAACTGTACTTGGCGATTGTCCTGAGGGAATTCTCTGGCATTGCCGTATTAAAAATTCCCCTGCAAACGCGAGATCACTTTCCCTTGCTGTTGGTGAAGGAGGTCCCGAGAAAAATTTAACATTTTATGATAGTGTAATTCTGGAGAAGATTCCAATGCAAGAAGAAAAAGCGGGAGAAAAGTATTTCCTCCGGGAATGCTTGGACGTGGGCATGGAAGTCTGACTACTGCCTCTCTCTAAATCCTTTTTCTCCGCCATCAGATTACTGTATGATAAGATGCTAGAATATTAAAAAGTAAATTATCACGTAAGCAGGTAAGATCGCTTAACTGAGACGTTTCTGGCCATCCGTATGTAATTGAAGGTCTTGCATAAATGAAAATTTTATACAGACCACGTCAAACTTTGCATAAAGGCTAAGTTCCCGTCAAGTAAATTTTCATGGTCCAGTCAAAAGCATTTGCTGGTTATATAAATTTGTCGCCTGAAACAGAAATTTTTAGATTTACGGTAAATTTGGAAATTTTGTCCATTAAATCGGCCAGTGTGCAGCCGTAGGAAGGAAATCCGTTCTCACCTGATCTACTCCGAAGGTTGACTCCCTTCAAAACGATATTTGCCAGCCTAGAGCCTAATTTTAAATGCTAACATATTATTTTGTACAAATCTACAGTGCAGTATTGATGTATCAATCAGGAGCACCTGAACACAGAAACTTGTTAGTCATTCAATTTATATTTTGTAATTGTCAAGCGACGGAGTTGACTGCATCCTTTCTGTGTCGTTACTTCCAATGAAAGTTTGCATGTACCCTTTCCTTGTCGCTGTAGCTTTTTGGAATGCAGTAATGTCCTGCATTGTACTGTGTTCCAGATCTCATCATCCTGAGATTTTATGAATCATGTATAGTATGCGTACTCATACAGTATTGCCATCTGCTGCAATGCTGTTGGTGTGAGTCCATCATGGATTGTTGGGGTAGAGGGGAATGAATACGACATGTGAAACGATCATGGGGATGTATTTCCTGAACAAAGAATTGAGTTTTTCTTTTCGGAGGCATTAGTACTTCACCAAAGCTTCGATAATATCAAGGCAAATCGTGACGATGGAACGTGCGACATAATATGATACGGTTAGACGCGAAGCAAAAATGTTGAATGAAATCCCACTTCGAGCCATTTTCGCATTTCAGCCCGAACCTTGGAAAGAATCGATTACGTAGCAAGATACCTGATATTCTGCTCGTGTTGAAACTAAATCTGGATTACTGAAGCGGTATTGAACGTTTTTCGCGGAAAATGTAGGGATACATTTGATGCGTTTTAGTTCTTTCGGATTACAATACAGTATTTCTGGTTCCGGCACTTCAATTCGCTTATCGTCGCGAATTGCCAAACCTGCATTCAATCGGACAATAACGAAGACGAGGAGAAAGAACTGAATCTGCGCGTTCATGAAAAACAGATTCAGTACATGCCATGGATTCAGTCCCATCTACAAATAACCCGAAAGTAGTCCGATATTTCCCCCGAGGGTTGGGTTGGTGGAGGCAAACTTGTTAACAGCAGAAGTTGTAAACTGGGGGTTTCTTATTCGTCTGATGGAATCCTTGACGATGGTCTGAAGACATTGGCTCGCTGGAACAATCAAGCTCACGTTGGAACTTAAATCTCCTTGAAGTTCCCCAGGTACGGGGAATGCCTGATACCGAACGAAAATCTCGGAGGAGTGTCGATCACCGCCTGAATAATTCGGATGAATTATTTTTTGAATATTATGAGAATGCCATGCGAACGAACAGTCGAAAGGCTTTTCATCTTGCAGTATTTAAAATGCGGCAAACATACCTTTTCGGGAGAGTAAACTCCGGGTCCGGGAATCTTGGTCTTATCTTTTGGCATCTGAGTCCTGCTTGAGAGAGAATATTGCGGGGATTTGTTTTTGTAAGCCTCGGTTTCCACGATTTTGTAGGATCCTGGTCCAGGGATTGGATTCGGTTTCGGATCTTTCGGTCGCGAAGCTAAGGAATAGGCCGGCGAGTTGCTTTTGTTGCTCAGGAATACTCCAGACTTAGTCCCAACCAGGCTTGGTAAATCATACACAGGCCCTGAAAAAAACCAATGATATCGTCGGTGAGTAAATCTGCCGATTTCTCCGAAAGATCGATCGGAGAAAAAAATGCGCGAATTTCCTCAATGGTATTTTGCAGGATGATCAAGGAGTACCTGGAGCAACGGGAACTTCGTTGAACACACGGCCTTTCTGTGCTGTCAAGACGGGTTCTTTGTTCGGATTTGCGCCGATCTGCTCGTCTCGGATAGGCCACGATGGATTACTTTTGTAGATCTGCTTGTCCGCTTTGGCCACGTCGTACGCGGATGGACCGGGTGTCACGAATTTTTCTCCGTGATAATCTTCCTTGTCTTTCGGGGGCAGCTTCGCGACCGGAATTGCACATTTCCCTGCAAAGCACACAGTCGTTGCGGAATGATTTTGTTTGTTTCCCTTTGTACAAAAATAATTTGTGTAGTGGGTGATGAACCCATGCTGCACCATATACTGTATATGTGATAATAGGCCCGCTTTTTCTCACAGATATCCTCTACTACTTGATAGGTGTGGCCTATAATCGAGGTTTTGATGATACAGTATGCTGCAGTGTGATCGAAAGGTGCAGCCTATAAAATTAATATTAAGGGGAGGTAAAGGTATTCATTCCGGTGAAATTCATGTGACCCGGTCGTAGATTCAATTCTGTTCCCCTGGAGAAATATAATTGATATTCAAAGCTGAGGCTCCATGTGAACGAAATGACTAGATATTCATGAAAACAATTACTGCATGAAGTCTATTGGAATTGTTCTTGCGCAAAGAAATGAGATACATTTTGGTCGATTTGTTCGCCGATTCATGTGGAAGGAAGCATGGGTAAAATCATCGTCGAAAAAAGGGAAATTCCCTGACAAAAAAAGTATTGTAAAGTTCAAGAAGTCTTGGTCCCAGTTCATCTTAATTTTTATATCCGTTTATTTCACTTTTTGAAATTAGTTGGGGTGAAGCATTAATTAAACTACGAATTTTGATTTTGAAGTTCACGTCGAAAGTGTCTTCAGAAACACTCACCTCCTTGTGGTTTCATGTTGGAAACGTCGTAAACCGGCCCTGGACCGATGATCTTCGGCTTCTCGATAATCCTGTGAACGATTAACGTAAAAAGTTTATAAAAGAATTGCTACAGCATCATGTCAATTATCGGAGATTGTCTCGCCAGCTACTGTCGAAAGATCGGGGACTAGGAAATCGAGATAACTGGTTCTACAGGGGTATCTGGGAAACGCCCTTAGATTAATTAGGACAAGTTTAGCCGCCGTATTTTTTGTCGCCTACTCAACCCGACAACGATCGAAGCTAGCTAAAAATGTCGTGACTTGTCAAGTTTTGCTAGCACGAAGTGTTCTAAAATTCGTGGCGGTTTCCTAAATCCGCTCCGTTGGGCATCGTCGAAAAATTGAGCGGGAAACATTGCGATGTGATTCTAAAGTTATCTCCGAAGCCTTGGGGCAAGGAGATCCGATCGTACTTGTGTGTTACACATTTTAAAAATTAAAAATTTTTAATTTGATGCATTTTTTGGAAAATATTCGTCTAACCGACCGTCATGAATTGATGAAGTGCTTTTCTTCTTTGTTCTCGTGAAATAAAACTTTTTGAATGGGTCCATAAAGTTTGAAAATATTGGAACAAAAGAATCGTGGTGTCGATCTGTCGAAATCTCAAGAATGTCAGATAATATAGGAATCTTGCAATATTTATCAGTAACTTTTTAATGTTGAAAATAATTCCTAAAAATGTGAGTAAAATTGTAGAGAATGTTTCAAGTTCAAGTTGCTCGATTGAGAAACATTTCTCTGACGCGAAAAGAAAAGTGTTTATCATGACATAGTGATAAGATATAATTAATTTATGTATCTAAATGTAGCCCTGAAACTTTCGTTTATTAGGAACTTTTTTTCAAATTTGTAGCTGTTGCGTGCATTGCATCTCAGATCGAGCATGTATGCATAGAAAGATGCCTTGATGTTGATTGTCGTATTTACCGTATACCAATCGCATATTTCGTTCGATCAATTAAGATAATGTTTCACGAACTCAAGTATCTTGCATGATAGAGCAGCCTGGAGAAAGAATGAGTTCATTGGATGATTGAGCGCAAATTTTCTGCCGTAAAATGTAGTAAAAGGGCAATCCCAGACCCACTCAGCTATAGCATAGGTAAATTCGGAATAATTTCGTATACGTTTCGGATCCGCGCCAGAATGAATCTTGACATTCTGAGGGTGATCATCGCTAACTGCCCGCATGAATCTGAAGTTCGCAAAATCATGTATTGTATACCGGTATTTTCGATCGGGAAGAATGGAATTGTCTCACCTTGCGCCCATCGAATACGAAGGTGAATTTGCCTTTTTAGAGTCGAAATGCTGGGTCTGCGGCCCACCTCCGTGCTTCGCTCCGACTGGCGGGGGTGTTCCTGAAAGAAGCATAAAACGTGAATAACGATTCTATCGAAATTTAATAAATGGTTGTTACTCGGGAAAATAAGAGGCGTATTTTTCAGTGAAGGCCAATCGTCGCTTTGACTGCGACTCGGCGGGAAGCAGGACCATGCGGGCTTCCTCGATCGGTCTCGTACTTCTTTTTTTTTTCGAGCGAATTACTTCATTCTTGAAGGCGCACTTCGCCGCTTTCGGAGATTCATTTATCACGTTATTATTCGAAACGGCTCATGATCGGTCGTTAACAGACTTTTAAGTTCTCCGTGAGATTCAGATTGGTCAAGGATACCGAAGGCAATTCTTGACTTGATGATACATTACAGTATTTTTTTCACGTATGTGGGTTCCAGAAAAGGCTGATTAATGAAGACGACTTTCATTGCCGCCCTCCCGGGCAAATTGAGCTTGTTCGTTTAATCTGATGATATATGGGACCTGTAATTCTGATTTTTCCGGCCAATATAATTCGTCTATTGCAAAGGAAACGAGTCCCCCTCTTCCTCACGAGAAATGATTCCGTTCGAGTTCGAGATATTCAGCACTGCGTGATGAAATCGGCAGTCCTTTTTCTGCATTTTTTCTTCTGGCTTTACCTCATTGTTCTACATAAAATGGTACACGCCTGTCGCTGTCTTTCGCGTTTCTTATTTCCTCCAACAATGAAGTCGTCGAAGAAAAAGGGTTCACCCACGCAATGACAGGTCTCTTCTGCTGTAGAATGGAATTCGTCTGGCGAATGTTTTCCCTGATGCCATCGAGGTTATCCGTCATACGAGGACAACTGGGCTTTTTATGTCTAATGTTCCCGCTCGTGTCCTGTGTAATTTATTAGCTCGGCTTCCCAGGTGTGTACTGCGGTTCAACAATAATAATGGTGGAAGGAGTGGAATGGATGGGCGTCTTACTATCAAATAATTTCCATTTGAATGGAACCTGAGTCGTAAGTTTTTTGAGACGGTGGACTTGATATTTAGAGGGAGTCCGATTTCTGCGCTTAGCTTGAAAGAAAAGGTCATCAGCAGTGGTCATAAAATATGGTAGTATGCCTGCTGGAATTTTTCTCACTTGTTCGACATGTGTTCACCCCAAATTCAACTTATTCCGCTTTTCTTTTGGCCGAATTAAGAATCGAATAGCATTCCACAAAGATACTTTTTGACATTTTGGCCCGTTTTCTGTTTCAAAATCGAAATTGCCGCTTCTGAACGTCGAGCATTAATTTGCGAATTATTGAAGTACACAAATAGAAGCCTCGGTTATTTTCTTGAGGTACAGCATACTTGGTTGTACTAAAACATTACATGAAATTTTATAAGATTATTTTTTTGGAACAGCGTGTATAGACGAAAGAATAGATGTACCTGCCGTTATCTGATGCTTTTTATGCCGAGTTTTTATGGTTGAAAAATTGGGTGGATCGAAATATGTGATGTGCAGGTTAATAATCCCGGCAGTGTTATATATAGGATTGATCTGCTCTTAAACATTTCTCTATTTTCCTTCGAAATGCTGAGAGAAAAGGGAAGAATTGGGTCTCCTGGGAAATTTGATCACAGAGGGTTTAGTGAGCTTGCGCCAGAAATTCTATTCGGGATATTCGCTGCAACTTGTCGAAGAATGACTCAGCGTTTGCCAACACGAGGATCTTTGATTGATGCGTCGTTCCTTTCCTAATTTAATGCCTGTCTGGGCAATGCCTGTTTATTTACCTGATGTGCCCAACCCTGGGTTAGATGAGATTCACCTGCTTGCGGGAATCTTTTGAGAAAGGAGAGATTTCCTATCGTCCCGACGCGAATTTTTTCGCCGCTGGAGAAGTGTGTCTCGTTGAATTTTACTTATTTAGCTTTTGCAGAAAATCTTCATTTTCACAAGTTGATCATGTAATCATTTGAAATCCGCGTTCACCATATACCATTGTAATCCGTAACCTTTTTTAAACCTTTATTAGATGCAACTGTTTTGTAGAAGTACATAATCGAAAGGAAAAATGTATCAGGTCATAATTTTGTATAGTGATACACAAAAAGTATGCATGGTCTCTTCAATGACTGGTAGAATAACTGTATCAGTACTGTTCCGATATTTGTGCTGGGAGAATTATGAGATTTTGTTCGACTAGTATTTGTAGCATTGTACATTCGTCCGCTTCTGTACATGTTTTAATCTTATGAGCTCCGGCTGACTTATCAAGAAATTGCACTTGAAGTTTGAGATGTGAGAAATTTTTTTACCAGTTGGGAAAACAGCGTTCATGCTCGAATAAAGCAGGAAATTGCTCATTCTTTACTGTTCTGGCGCCATTTTCGTGCAGAAGCAACTTATATAGTGCTTAGAAATAATGGGCCTACTTCCGTATTCAACGGTGGTCCTTATACGCCGTAATCGGAAAGCCGTCCTTGGAGTTCGTTTCCATGTTATTACGAAGTGGGGGAAAATTGCATCGATAACTGTTCTAACGTTCATTACAATTTTATTTTTGAAGCTTCTATATAGAGACATGCTGAACTTCCCATCAATGAAAATACCAAGTATGGAGTAAGTGAAAATAACTATGAGAAAGAAAAAAATTGACTCGCAAAAACTGAGGAAATTAGCTGATTGCTGGGGAGTGCCATGTCGACGAAGTTGTGATATACTAATACATTGCCCATTTGCAACAAGCAGTGCTCGACGAATTCGAGTCCAGTCGAAAGTTGATGTCCATTCTGAGGTGATCGTGTGCAGTATATTTTTTTTATTAGTTCTGCTTTTTTATAAGCCCAAAAAATTGCGGCGGCAAGAAATGAGAAAATTCATCACTCTTCAGTGAAAATTGCCGAATTTAGATTTTAAAATTTCCCATTTTTAACTCACCACCTCGTTTAACTCGGCTTCAATTTTTTTTAATAAAATAATTTTCATCTGCGGGCAATAAAAGGTCGGGTTGATTTCATGCATGGATTTTATTATACAGTATTCGAGTTTTCATTCGCTGCGAATAAAGGGCCACGAAGATATTTTTATCAGCCTCAATATATTACGTTTAACCATTCATATTAATCCTACCTACATTTTGATTCATACCCGAGTGTATGGTAAGAAAAATAACCATGCGACAATTTTTCAGCGTTCACTTTTCAAGTGACCTAAATGAAAGTCATGTCAATATACCAAGGCCCATAAAAAATTGAATAATTTCAGATAAAAAACGAATGAAAGTCGGTTCAGGCACACATTTTTCTCTGATCAATCCTCTTATGAATGCATCGCGAATTATTATTCCTGTATATATATCCTGAGTTCAGAAATAAAAGAGAGCGTCATTTGCGAAGAAGTATTCTTTCGCAAGCACGGTGATTCGATCGCCTGAGTCGGTATATCTCAACATTTTTTTGTCGAAGAAGAGAAAAGTCGAAACCTGAGGCGAGTCTGCGTCCAAGTAACAACAATTTTCTATGAAAACGTCCGAAAGGGAAGGAATTCCGCCGACGGCGTCACTGTCGAGTTTCGGGTGGCTGAGACACCCGAATCACGACGGGGAATTTGGTCGATGCCGGGTCTGCCGGTCTCCATGACTGCCAAGTTTTTCCCGTATCATTTACGGCGTCACTGCTGGGAAGGTTCTGAGCATGAAACTGCTCGCGAATTTCTTCCTTTTTCTCTGAATTTCCTTCTTTTCTCTTCACCGTATGCTTTCGTGTCGAAACAGCTCGAGGAAAAGGTCACCGGTTTATACTGTATAAGACCCCCGGTTCATCACGAAAAAGCCGATGCGAGACTCTGTTTTCTCTGACCGTCACCCCCCCCCCCCTTTTTTTTCATTGAAACTCATATTAACTTGTTTTTTACTCGGTTGAATTTTCTGAATTTACTTTAGAAGAAATTTGATTCAGTGCTAAGGGGGAAAATTGCAGAAGGCGATGAGGAGTTGGCTGAAATCAGATAATTTCATCTGATTGTACAATGGGGTCACCATAGATGCCGATTAAATTGCATTTCAGACTGCGTTCATCCATATCCAATGTCTGCGTGCTATTGGATTAGCTTTTTCCATATACTGTACCGTACTTCAGTAGGAACATTTTTGAACGCTTATCTTGTTTTTAAAATTTCTTAAAAACTCAATAAAATGTTCATTGCTTGACTTCGAATTACTGTACCACATAATAACTGTGATGCGAAAAATCTCACAAAATATGCTCTTTTAGCATGGAAATGGCAAAAAGGACACATGGGTGGATTCTTTATGCAATAAAAACGTGTTCGAAAATTTTTATCACTGTACGTAGAGAACCTCTATACAGTATACAATATATTGGAAGGATATAGAGGAGCCTATGGGACCAAAACACGGTTGTTATGCAGAGACAATTTTTTGTTAACGCGATTGTTGTAAATTGAGTCTATCCTATCTAAACCCCGGGAATCATTCGATTTTTTGACTTTACTGTATACCCATGTCATTTTAGCAAATTGTACAGTATTTGATAGAAATATAATGTTGGAAAATAAGTGCCCATATCTTGAGGCATTGTCCGTATGTTGGACACATTTTGGTGGACAAATTTTCCATAATTTAAATGCCCACATGTCAGGGCACCCAGCGCATACTGTTACCCGCTGTATATATGCCAAAAATAGATATAACGCTCAAAAATCAGATTTACATGTCATTCCAAAAATAAGACCCATCTTGAATGCATTTTGGAAATGGACCCGGTTGCTCGAGTTCACTATATTACTGGATAGTACTGAACTACAATACTGTATGTGCTTTATAAGCTGATGAATAAAATACTGCTTGCGAATTGAAATTGGATTTTATGTCGACGGAAATCCATTCTCCAATTGGCTCAGTTTAATAGTTTAAGAAAAAGAGACTGTAAATATTGTATGCTAGTACATGTACTGCAGACTATGTAGAACGATTCTTCATTCCGCTACAACGCTGTCCTGTCTAATTTTTCCAACCTTGATTTAATACTAAAGATTCACTTCAGTGTGATTCAAAAATCATCTGTCAGAAGTCTCAGCTCAAATAGTTTCTGGCTTTTTTGATTCAAACTCTCGAATTACTATACTTCCGCATTGTCAGGTCCATGGAATGAACTGAAATTCGGAAAGCTTTTTACTCATTCTTAAAAGGATTATTTTATTTTTAGAGATGAGTGGAATACGTTATATGAAACCTTCTATAGACCGTGTGTCAGGTGCTGGGTTAGATCCATACACGAGATTATTCCACCAGCAATCTTTCCTACACGCAGGAAATAACGGCAGTGCTGGCCGCGAACGAAACCATTTGTTCGCGTCAAAGGTGGCCTCTCGACTTGCACCGATTCTAGCCTTCATAAGATGAATCGGATGCTTGCACTGTTATTTCTTTTACTGTACAGTATGTATAGTATTCCTGATACTTGCATAAAAAGGGGTTTCGAGCTGCGAGTCGTGGCAGAGCCACCTGCATTCGTATGCAACCCGCTTGTCGGCTGGCTCGCAAGCGGACCAAATGTCCGAGCTATCTGCCAAGTGTTTCACGGGTTCCAATCCTTTATTATAAATTCGTATTATTTTTCATATTCGTTCCTCTGCCTTTTTGTTTTATGGAATTCATATATCCTAAGCCTCTCGTCGAGCTTAATGAGATTCGAGACCACAAGAGAGCGGAAACCTTCAAACATGTATTCAAGGTTCGACGTCTTCATGTATTAAATTTGAAGCGTCCTCAATTTTATTCTGCGCATTGCAAAAAAAATGGTAATTTATTGTTTTACGTGCCTTCGAAGATTTGAAAAATCTCAACTCTCGTATGCAATATTTTTTCATACGCTTTATTCAGAACAGTATATTGAAACGAAATGCTTTGCCACAATTTAAAACAATGCGATTGAATATCGAAGTATTCCAGGGAAATGACTTACTCTCTTAGGCAATTAAATTTTTTCGAATGGCATAAGTTTAAATTGTCCGGTAGACTGATTTTTAAAATTAACTCGATTTCTCCCTCCCCCCTCACAAATTTTCGTCGAACTTGATGGTTTATACGGATGGATCGAAAAAGCTACATCGGAACGATTTATTAATTGTCTTTCGGAGTAATATGTCATGTCATAACGGTATGTCGATGACCGACGTTGATTATTGAATGACAAATTCAAGTTTTTCAGTCATTTTTTCGCTGGAAATAAGGTGATATTTACAGTAATTGGAACAGTTTGGGAAACCTATTCTTCAAAATTCATTCTAAATTTTTTATCGCCCCAAATATTCGTTGTATCTTTGTGCTGGTCAAACGGATTTAAGTAGAAGAGGTACATCAGTATGAAAGATCGCCTCTCATATCATATTTAGTATATATCATGCGTATGACTTACAGCGAAACGCATGCTTCAAAAATTACGCATAAGTATTGATTTAATGAAAAGTAATTCACAGGGTTTGTTGCACAATTGAAAAAAGTTCTTGAAGCAGTGCTTCTTTTTCTTTGAGTTGAAATCTTTGGTAGAAAATTAATCTATTTTTAATTTTTGTGTGTGCTTTTATTTCGCTCTGTGGTGATATTAATGCGAAAGGAACGGAAAAATGTATTGGTCTTCAAATAAATTCGGCCTACTTTTCACCCATAACGTAACATCTTTTAAAATGTTTTCCTCCTCCTTGATGCATGAAATGTCAGTTTGCGTGAGGTGTGTGATAAAACGAGAAGCACGATTGAGTCGAGTGTGGAACACTTCTCGCCTGTATATGTACAAGCAGCAGTTGTGGATAAAATACAGTCCTTCGGAGGAGCCAATCCATCCGTGACTCAGCCCTGAACTTGACCAGTGTGTTAATTCAGCCGCAAAGAGAAAAAAAAAAACTCAAGCAAGAGAAAGAAAAAGAAAACCACCTGCATTAAAAGAACCCGAGAAACCGAAAGACCTTCGCGCAGCTCACAACCAAATATGGTTCGAACGAAGATGGTTCGGGTTCACTCAAGCTCAACAACACGGAGTCACAGCGCCTATAGGGCGTTGGATTTCATATCTTTTCGCTTCTTTTACTTCTCACGTTCTCCCTCCCATAAGTTTCTTTAGTGTATATACGCACAAACAGTTCTCGAAGTTCGTCTCCTTTTCCATTCTAACGGAGTGAAATAATAGGGGTTTTTATTTGCGGAGACACGGGAGGAGAAGATTTAAGGCCCTGTCGGATAAAACCCGTTTCGGGGTGACCCCGTTTGTAGGTCGTTTCCCACTGGACCTTTCCGTAAAGGTTCCGATGGTGAACCGAGATCTGAACGGATTCCTGACGGTTTTATCGAACCCTCGACGTTATTAGCGACTTGTCGTTACCCGCTATTATTTACAAGTAAGAACGTGTAGTCGAGGTAATCATGCAATGTTGAGCATGATAATTATTCCTCGATTATAAAAAAAGACGTCACGCGAACACGATTTCAATATCACGTTAATCGAATGGAATTTTGTCTTGCAAAAAGCGGGGAAATCCGTGTTTGTGCACGTTTTCGTCGCTAAAACGAAAATGCCTAAAAAGACGGATGGAAAGAAATACCGAAGTCCAAGCTACAGTATATATTTATGTGAAAAGACAATATTAGAAAAATCAATACAGACAGAACAGTTTCAGATTCAGAACTTTTCCTCAGGAGGGTTGAAACCGAAAAATGCCCACGGCATCATCGGAGAGGAAATTTAAATCCTTTCGCCGCTGAGATTTCTCGAAAATCGTAAACATATTTTTTTAAACTCAGAGAACCCTGAAATTTGGGAAGAACGAAATACAGTAATTTAATGTTGAAAAATAATTTAACTAGTATCTCAATGCGAATTAAGAGTAAAGTTATGCATATTTCGATAGAAAATCGTATGCTCTCACATCATCATACTAAATTTCTCGAACTGTTCGACTTGTTTAAAATCATTACGTGTTATTTTTCTGTTCCACCCCGTATCTTATGTCGGAGTTCTGGAAAGTTCCTCATTGGCAATGGAACCAAACCGGTTCAAAGACTTCTCAATTGCATTTAATCAACATTCAACGCAAACATGTTTAGGATTTCCGTATCGGGCATTCGTACTCCTTATGCGGCAGCACTGATCGAGATCGGAGTCACATTTATGCGGATCTGTTTATGCGTCAGAGTTGTTAATTAAACGTTCTAGTCCGGCATCCGTTATCAGCATCTTATATATGCTCGACGAAATTAAATTCGAGTCTACGAATCGAACAGAGGTTCGACACTGGAAAAATTGTTGGTGAATGAATGTTTCATCGTCAGACACAGTGTCATGTTTTGTTTCGTATGATATATCTTCATGCTTGATCCTAAGGTCATCTTTTGTGTAGATCGAACATCTGATCAAATGGTTTAGAAGGGAACACATCCTCCTTTTTTATTGATGGAGAAGGTTCACGGAATTTAATCGTCGTGAGCGCATCGCGAGGATAGAGGGCCGACTTAATCTCGAAGTCTTGTCAATATCTGTTAAGTTAATCTTAATTTTTTAATGAAGACAGTGCTTATCAAATTTGACACAGAATCAGATGTCAAATTTGACGTCTTCCAAGTTATTCTCATTCATGGGCTACGTTGAAAAACAAACGCTTAGAGTGATGAAAAAAGTTTTCAGAAAAACAATTCTGAACACCGAGCGGAAAAAGCTTGGATGAGAGTTTTGAAAATAACGATTGCTAACTCAAAGATGTATTCGAGTAAAAGAAAAAAGTCTTTCAAGCACATGATTTCAATAAATATAATTTCCTTAGACATAACTTTCCCAGTTATTTCCGTCCTCTTTTCGTGGACAAAACCACAAGACTTCATCTGTACCAGTACTGCTCTCACTCAAGCATTAACTTTGATAGAACATTAATCTTTGATCAATAACACGTCATGAGAAACTTTTCTTCTGATTTTTGAGGAATTGAATAAATTAATTCTAGGGGCTCACCGAAGTATGAAGGAAGAGTAACGGAAGCTGGTCCGGGGGAATGGAATTCGGCCGAAATCGGTCCTCGACGAGCAGTTGGTTTCCACTCTCGTTGATCAACGTAACCCATGGTGCTGTATCGGCTTTGATCGCTTGCTTCCTGCAAAAAATAATTAGTTTGAAACGAATGTAATCAACACTTCGAATGATGGATATGAACTATAGAAAGCTCCCCATTTCTTTCGTGAGGTGGTTTAAAATTCGGGTTCGCTATCGTGCCAATTTTTTAGGGGGTTCGGATCCCCGCGTTTTCTCCGAAGATAAGACCGAATCGTCAAATAACCCCTAGCATAATTTTCTTGAAATACGAATATTCCGTACCACGAAAATTTACCGTAATTTATGTGTCCGGGATTAAGTCTTTGTAAAAGTCATCCTATAAATTTTTCTAATCTGATCTGCAGTTTCATCAGCCTCAAAAAGATCCCTCAAACAAGTACTTTCCTCTTCCAAAACACCGGAGACTTTCATGTGCATATTTCTCAGTACTCCACTGTACAGTACAGTACTTAGCGAAAAAAATAAGTCATGTCCTGATCGAGTTATGAACTTCAGTATTCTCAATGGAAATCACGCTGTAGCATACATTTATTTTTGGCACTTCAACGAACCAATAAGCATTCAATTGACTGTTTTCAAAAACATACAGGTACAATATTTATTCGCAAAAAAAAGATTCCACGCATTTCTTGAACTTGAGCTGCATGATTTCCTACTGATGAACGAATTCATCAAAATACACTTCCAGATTCATGGAAATTTCTGCAATAATGTGAATTCAGGCCATTTCTGCAAGCCGATTTACCAGGTAATTATTGTTAAATCCTTTAGTCTAGTTTATATGAAGTGGTATTTGAGAATCGGTGAGAATTTATTTTTCGGGCGAATGCATCCCACCATGAGCGTGAACGATATAAATTCAACCTTTTGAGACTGTTTTTTATTTTTATTTTAAGGAAAATACGGTTAATAAATGTATCGAAAAAAGAATCCTTGAAACTCACGAGTAACATCGCCATCTGGAATAATGGCCTAAGCCGAAGTTCTGATTGTGCTTTGCACGAAACCCGCCCATCGTCCTAACAAGGACGATGGATTGTAAGAGACGCCTTCATGCTGTAGTCAGGGTTATAGTTAGTCATTTCAATTCGCTCGCGTATCCTATCTTTCTTCTCTCTTTTTTTTTTTTTTAGCTGACACGCGCAAAAACTGTTTTGCGGAGACGAATATATTTATTTGCAAGTGCCGCGAGACGCAGCGACGTCTTGAGCTGGCGCCGCGGCGCTGTACACTAGGAGCCGGTTTCTGTGGCAACGCGCTGTTTTATTCGCATATTCCGCCGGGGGTTCAGATTTTGCACGCAGGGGGATCTCTGACCACGCGTTCCTTAGGCGCCGAGGTCATATGTTTTTCGCCTGGGGGTTCTCTCAAAAATTTCATAATATTTATAGACTTCTGTAGAGAGCAGGAATTTTCAATCTTTTTATGCGTGGAAATATAGTACAGTACAGTATTTTCAAGACGCGGTTGGATTTCCACGCACCGCTCTTCTTGATATTACAGCACTTGATGTACTCATGAAAAGGGAGTATCCGATTTTAAAATCTCCAAAGAAAGTACAATGCAGTGTACATT